ACGTGGCCAGAGCGGGCCTGGGGCCTGTCAGAGCTGGCGAGCCGCGTCACCACCACACGACCCTCCGCACAGGACCCCTGATTCCGAGGGAGGCGCCCCTATCTCGGGGCCACCTGACCCCGGGGGGCTGGGGCCCCCCGCGCGGGCCGGGCTGCTGTCTGAGCTCCGCACCAGGCGTGAGCAGGAGCTCCAGCTCGCCCGCCCGGTACAGCCCGCCTCAGACTCAGGCCAAGGCTGGACGTCGGCGGGGTGTGCACAGGGTTCGACCTGATCTGGGGAGCGACTTCTAAGGGCTATGAAGTGCCGGTAGAGGAGGATTAAAATGCCCCTTTGATTCTGTACCTTTTGCAACTTTGCAACAAAGATGCCAACAATCATAGTTTAAGAATTGCGCAAACACTTTAATGACCGTAAGTTTTAACTTGTGTCTTATTTTTTATTTCAAAATATATTTATTATATTTCTTGCATTTTATATTTATAAAAAATCATTTTAATTTATCTTGATTTCCTGATAAAAATTCCATTCACCACAGAAAAATTGAATTTTTTTTTCATTTCCAGACTTTTTCTCATTTTATTTTCACCAAATACCATTTGATACTGAAGATGTAAAATGTTAACACCCTTTTGAGTGTCATTTTAAGAAATACCTTTATGTTCAGCCCAGTTATTTTTTTAAAGATTTTATTTATTTGTGCATGCAGAACTGGGGTACAAGCCAGAGATGCGGAGGGTGAGAGGCTTCACCAGAGACAGAGTGGGGAGCAGGACAGGCAGATGGAGGAAGTACACTGCTGAGGGGAGCAGCGGGCGGGTCAGGAGAGGTCTGCCGCGCCCTGTGGTCACCCCCGGGGCAGGCGGGGATCGTACCCATGTGGAAGTGGCTTTAGCTTCTCAGTGCTGCGTTTTAACCCTCTGCGCCACAGGGGAGGGCCTCAGCCCAGTTTTTTTTTTTTTTTTTACAAAAGTTTATTTTTATATCATTTTGTACATTTTTTTCCCCCATCTCAATTGTAATCCCCGCGGGTTTCCCATCACCAA